GAAATTGCAAAGAAAATGAATGTATTATGTACCTTTGAGGTAGGACATGGTGGGTCTAGGGTTGTGTTGTGCGACAAATGGACCTACGATGAGACCAGGGTTGATAGAGACCATGTTGATCCTACGGTCCATGGCTAGTGCCCAAGCTGCTTTCTCAGACAACATCTTTGCCAATGCGTGCCACAACTGCATCCACAAACAATTTGTACACACGTGAGTTTTGAGAGCTTGTGCGTATGAAAAGTAAGTTACTACTAATAGTAACAAAAAAAAGTATTGGAATAGTCTTCAATTAATTTAAACTTTTTTGTTGACTGTTCGGTTCGATGACATACAGCTAAGCTATACACGTTAGAATTGTCCCCAAATAATTTGGTGTACAAGTTAGATAAGTCCATTTATGACAAATCATAATTTACAAAAAAAACCCAACATGTCACCCTCTAATATAGAGGTGATAGTCATAAAGAAAGACTACTAAATCATCTGTATCTAATTATTCAATAAATTAAAAATATGCACTTTATATTTTCCCAAAGACAAAACTATAATGGAATCAAGAGTTGTTGTACATTGTATTTATGATCATGGATAATGAATATATTCACTTAATCTACCTCCTTGCGAATTTTCTCTGTCGTCCATTTAGAATTATTCGAGATAATGTGACAATATATTTGATGAAGACACAACTTTTGACTATTAAAAAGATACCACCCCAAACATACAACAAACAAAAAAATTTCCATGTATTTTTTTTTCAACAAATTAGTTCCATTCCATGTATAGTATTTATAAAAATAGAAGTGACTAATAAAATAGTGCAATAATGTGAGCTAGCTACATTAAATAAAATGTCAGGAAACAATTTAGTTATAAGCTCCAATCCAGCCTATAAATTGTAAAATTGTGGGTCCAATTAATTCACCAAAATTTTCACATATTTAAACAAAAGAAATTAAAAAAAGAAGAAGAAGAGAGATTAGAGAAAAAATTAGAAACCTTCTTGTTGCGACAAAAGTCTTGATCACTCCAACACTTTTCATCAACATCTTTCTGAGTTCCAATGTTATCTCTCCAAATCGAAGCAGTCAAAGAAGATGAAAACACAATCTTCTCTATACTCTCTGTTCTTCCACATGCCTCAACTACATTGATCGCTCCTCTCACTTCCAAATCCACTTCCTTCTCCTACAATTAATACACACAAATCTCAATTTCTCAAAACCAAGAATCTACACAATAACAAATAGTATGATAGAGATGATTTTTGATGAAGTTACTCACATCGTACCCTTCAGGGCTATCTAAACAACAGAACACAGCGTTACAGTTCTTGAGAGAGACAACTATGGTTTGATAATCCAATACATCTACATCATACACAACTAATCTCGCTTCTGTTGCTTCCATCTCTCTGATCTTCTTCTCGATTTCACTCTCTCCTGATACACCAAACACAAAAAAACACAATCGAATCAGAACAAACCCTTTTGCTTCAAATCATAAACTAAATCGAAATAAAAGAGAAAGAAAGATACCGTTTTTACGAATGGCTGCGTGAACAGAGTATCCTCTGCTAAGCAATTTCTTGAGAATCCAGAAACCAACATAAGTGGAAGCATCAAGAACGCAGCAACAAGAGGTAGACTTTTCATGATCCATTTTTTTTTTTMTTTCTTGTGAATTTTGGTGAAGAAGGTTACAAGTAGGAAGAGAAGAGAGAAGTTGTATTAATAGGAGAAAGAAAGTTGGGTGAACTATTTTTCTGTTGCACGTTCCCAGCTACTCATC